ATGATAGGATCCTCTTCTATTATTATTATTATTATGATAAGACAATGGATAAGATTTCCTTCTTCTTGGATTGTAATGACCTCCATGATTTCCATTTGTAGAGTGATAATCATGACCACCAGTAGTTGTTGAATTATAGACATGTTCATCTTGTGTTGATTGACTTGGTACATAATCCTTATCAGCATATCTAACCAATAGAGGAGTGATAGCTCCCTTCATAAGGAAACTACTCTCTAGGAGCTTGTTAGTCAACTCGACCAATCTTTGATTAGAAGGTCCACCAATAGTTGTTCCTTCTTGTTGAGCTCCTTGTTGATATTCTTGAATTGGTGAAATGATTTCTCTCTTGAAGGTGTTAATGACCATATCAGCTGATTCTGAATTGGTAAATTTGATAAAACCACATCCCTTTGAAGTATGAATGGTCGTTCTCAATACGACAACGTCAAGAATTTCGCCAAAACTTTCGAATAGAGTTGAGAGCTCATCTTCAGTAACATTCTTTGGAATATTTCTGATAAAGAGCTTGTTTTCTGGATGAGGCACGCCAATTTCATACTTATCTATATTGAGACAGGAGAGGAAATTTGAGGCAATTGTCAAATCTTGAGATTTTTCACTATTGGAATCATTAGGCGAGGATGAAGTAGTTAGATTTGGAGCATTATTTACAAAATTATCATTAACAATATCTAATTGTTGCTCAGTGTAGGCATATTTAACTCTGAGAGGGGTATTTAACTAAGTTTCGAATAAAAAAGGTGTTCAATTGAAACCATTCGAATAAGTTAAAATTATCACATATCAAATATACTTACAGGTGGCAGTTTCAATCTTTGATTGAGTTCTCTAATGCATGTGTCCGCATCTTGCTTACTACGAAATGAGACGAAAGCACATCCTCTTGACTTGAATGTAAATCTGTCTCTAATCACAACAATTTCAGCAACTGGACCAAATTGTGAAAATAATGGATATAAATTATCTTCACCATAAGAGTATGGAATTTGTCCAACAAATAACTTGACAGTATTCAAATCAAGATTAGAATAAGTTTCGTCTCCATTAGTTTCTTCTGTTTCTTCTTGAAGAGCTCCATCTTCATATTGATAGTCAGCACCATCTTCCCCTGAATAATCTTCAGTTGTTGTGGATGTACTGTTTGAGGAGGTACAATCTCTTGTTGGAAACTTGTTATTCGAATCTCCGTTAAGTATTTGATCTGTAGATGAAGAAATGTCGAGTGCTCGTGATGAAGATGAAGGAATTGCTCTAAACTGCTGATTATTGGGCATTGTTTCTCCTTTTTTTTGATAGTTTCGTCTAGATTCTTAACTTAATGTTCTAATTGTTTGAAAAATGAGTTCGTTAACAATGTTCCTTTTAAAATGAACGGTGTTTCGGAGAGGTATTAGAAAGTTATTGTTCAATTACTGCGTTAATAGTACTCAAAAGAATGATGGTCACTAATCCACAAAATAGTTTCACCAGAGTTTCGTTTTTTTTCTTCTTTACTTTGAAAAACTGTTTCAGATTAAATACTCGAAACTCAATACAAAATAAAGAGATTGATAATAATAGCCATCTTCGCTCTGGGTGAAAATGCTCATTTTTTGTAAAACTCTTTTTCTGACTTTCGTCCGATTGAGGAAGATGATTATTGAAAGCAATTGGTTAAGAAAGTTCCTAAAAAATATGGAGAGTTGACAATTTAAATAATCAAGAGTTGAAATCAATGTTATGCGATCAATAATTTGTTGAAATTGTTTATGGAGTTTGTGCTGACCATGAGGTCAATCCAAAAAGATTAAGTTACTAGTAAAGAGTTTCATATTGATATTGTAAAGTATTGTTGTAAAATTGCATATGGTAATTGACTATTAATCGATATTGAGTATTAAGAATGATTAGTTTATAATACATAATCAGATAAATCGAATTGTTTCGTATTGTCACAATGACAATTATGGTTTAGCAACTGATTTTCTTCTGTGAGATCTTTTACTACCAGCACTTCTGGCTGATTTATAGGCAGAGTTAGCGAGTGTACTCTCTGAGGCACTGTTTGAGAAACCATAGTGGTGAACATCTTCGTTATTGTAGGCAACACCACCATACTTGTGATCCAAGCCAACTAATTCATCTTGTGGAGGAACTCTCAGACCAATGGTAATGTCAATGAAGAAGAACATGATTACTGAAGAGAATGCAACCCAAATGGTGGTAACTGCAATACCGAGCATGTTAACACCCAAAATTTCCCAATTCAAACTGTACAAGACACCATAGGTCACAAAATCGGTACTGTCCAATCCATAGAAGAGTATGAGTCTATTTTGAGAAACATTAGGTCAGTATTAATATTTGAGAACAAGTACTTACAAATCCTTTGTGGCAAAGAAACCTCCCAAGAACAATCCCCATCCACCACAGAATGCATGAACAGGAACAGCACTTACAGGGTCATCAATATGTAAATATTCCAATAATAAAGTACCTCCAATATAAACCATAGCACCTGTGGCACCAACCAGAACAGCAGCCCATGGCTCAACAAAGGCACAAATTGGTGTAATTGAGACACAACCTGCCAAACAACCGTTCAAACTTTCAGTAAGGTCATATTGTCCACTTTGAAGACAAGACCAAAACATACACATGAGAGCACCTGCAGCACCAGCAATGGTTGTGTTAGTATTGGCGTAACTTGTAATCTTGGACAAGCCACCACTCAATGCAGTAGTTGAACCACCATTGAAACCATACTATTCCATAATTAGAATTTACAAGTTATTGAAATAATACTTACCCAACCAAACCACAAAATGAAACTTCCTAGCAAGACAAGAGTCTTGTTGTGTCCTTCAATCTTGACAGCTTTTCCATTGACGAATCTTCCAATTCTTGGACCAACCATAATGGCTCCAACAAGGCCACAAATTCCGCCAGTCAACTATTTACACAATTATGTTGGAATGTTCATGGAATATCGAAATACTTACGTGAACAACTACACCACCAGCATAATCAGTGACACCGACAGTACCAATTCTGAATAAAGTCTTATTGAATCCTGATAACCAACCAGTTGTAGACCAAATCCAGTGAGCAACTGGAGAATAGATAAAGGCAGTCATTAAGAATGAACACATGAAGAATGCAGATAAATTCATTCTTTCAGCGACGGCACCACTCACAACTATTCGAATAGGTCAAAAATTATTCAAAAAGCCTAAACTTACTTGAACTGGCAACAGCAGCAAAACTCCATTGAAAGAAGAAAATATGATGAGATTCATTAGCTCCCAATAAAAAGAAGGACGAAACGCCAAAGAATCCATTTCTAGTTTCACTCATTGCATTATCTCCAAAAGCAATTCCATAACCAATACAGAACCAAGCCATTGTTGAAATGGCAACAGACATGACAATCTTCAATAAGATGTTGGCAACGTTTTTAGAACGAACACCACCAGCTTCAAGAAATGCAAATCTTTATAACAGCTCAAATTAGAAATAATGGATTAAATTATATCACTCACCCTGCTTGCATAACTATTCAAGTCCAAATTAATTAATTATTTAGGATTTGATTTCATCAAATGATTTAAAATGTTACAAGAACAATCACCGAGAATTCAATAATGGCCACAATAAATGTGTCAACAATCAATGTGTGGATGAGCAAAACTTACACATAACCAAGGCTCCGTTCAACAATGTCCAACCAATATCTACATCTGCTGCCGATAATGTTTGTGCTTTTACTTGCTGCTCAAAGCACGTCAGCAACAGTACTACCACAGTAAGTCCAACAGCCAAATAATTATTTCTTCTCGTTCTCTCTATCATTTGTTGTTAATTATTTCTTTTTGTTGTTGTATGATAAAAAGCGAAATAATGAAGATTGTGGCACTCAACATCATCCATTATTGTTGTTGGTGGTGGTGGGCAAGGGTGAACCAATCGATTGTTGGCAAGTTGTTTGTTTTTGGTTTCCAATGTTCAGTTCACACTTTGCAAAAATGTGCGGGAACGAATTCTTCTTGACCGATTGGTGCTATCTTTCAATTTTCAACATAAACAAGTTCTTTTGTGGCCTTCTTTGTGTAGAAACTTTGCTAAACTGAACAATCTAAACTTCAATCAGCACGAAAGAACCAACGACAAAAATTTACCTCCACTGTTGTTGTTGTTGTTGATGTTGGTAAGGACGATGAGGTTTGCTATTAAATGATCCGACAGAGTGTTGGGAATCTAATTGTTCTGATAGTTCTGTAGTCGTGTTTGAGTATTTCTTTTGTTGTTGGACGAATTGAACTGTTTTGTAAGCTTGTTTGGCTAGAGTATTTTCTGATGAGGAAGCACTGAAAATGTGGACATTGTCTTCATTGTTATAGGCCATTCCACCATACTTGTGATCCAAACCAACTAGTTCATCTTGTGGAAGAACTCTCAAACCAATTGTGATATCAATTAAAAAGAACATGATTACGGATGAGAAAGTAACCCAAATGGTTACAATAATTATGGCAAACAAATTAATTCCTAACAATTCCCAATTATAACTATAAAATACTCCATAGTATGGGTTATCGGCTGGAAGAGAATATAGGAGAATCATTCTTTCATAATCACATTAATTATTGAAAACAATTAATTGGAAATTATTTGTTCGGACATTGTTAGGAGATTTGGATAAATTGAAACACTTACTGTTGCTTAGTGGCAAATAATCCTCCCATCAATAATCCCCAAGCTCCACAAAATGCGTGCACTGGTACTGCATTCACTGGGTCATCAACATGAAAGAATTCAAGCAACCATGTTCCTATAATGTAAACAATTGCTCCACTTGATCCTACAATCACAGAGGCCCATGGTTCAATGAGGGCACAAATAGGCGTGATTGAAACGCAGCCAGCCAAGCAACCATTCAAGCTCTCAGTAAGGTCATACCTTAGTAGAGTTTTGTGATATATTAGAGAGGGTAAACCTTATTGAACTACTTACTGCCCATTTTGGAAACAAGACCACAACATACACATAAGGGCACCTGCTGCACCTGCAAGTGTTGTATTGGTACTTGCAAAGCTGGCAATCTTTGACATTCCACCACTCAATTTTAATACTGAGCCCGAATTGAATCCATACTTGTTATTGATTATTGTAATGATAATTAGTGAAATAATACTTACCCAACCAAACCACAAAATCAAACCGCCCAACAAGACAAGAGTCTTGTTGTGACCTTCAATTTTCATAGTTTTACCATTAACAAACCTTCCAATTCTTGGACCAACCATAATGGCTCCAACGAGGCCACAAATACCACCAGTCAACTTGAATTGTGAATTGTTATTGAGCTATAACAGATACTTACATGGACAACAACACCACCAGCATAATCTGAAACTCCAACATAGCCGAGTCTGAACATGGTTTCATTGAATCCTGACAACCAACCAGTTGTAGACCAAATCCAGTGAGCAACTGGTGCATAAATGAATCCTGTCATTAAGAATGAACACATGAAGAATGCAGACAAATTCATTCTTTCAGCAACAGCACCACTCACAACTTTTCAAATAGGTCATTAACTTGCTATTGAACTCTCATACTTACTTGAACTGGTCACTGCAGCAAAACTCCAATGAAAGAAAAAATAATTATTATCTTCATTTCCACCCAATAAGAAGAAGGATGCATTTCCAAAGAAGCCATTTCTCGTCTCAGTCTTTTGGTCACCAAAAGCAATTCCATAACCAATACAGAACCAAGCCATTGTCGAGATGGAAACTGACATTACAATTTTCAGCAAAATATTGGCCACATTTTTCGACCTAACACCACCAGCTTCAAGAAATGCAAAACTATCATCATGACATTATTCGAATCCGATATAATTTCCTAAACTTACCCAGCCTGCATAACTATCAAAACCATCAACTAAAATCAATAACCACCCATACTTACACATCACTAATGCGCCATTCATCAAAGTCCAACCAGCATCCACACTACTAGCCAATTCTGTTGTTGTTATAGTTGTCGATGATCCTTCAGTCTGTCCCGAACATTCCACAATTTTCATTCCAAAATCATCATCATTATTATCATACAAAACCATATAGTGTCCTTTCTAAATTTTATACTCGGAAATGACAATCCATTAGCATTATTGTTTTGATGAAGACTGAAAGAATGTTGTAATGTTGCTTCTCCCACGTAGAGACACCAAGTTACGTGAGACATTTTTTCTTTTGGATTAATTTGCGCGCACAGCCATAATAAGATTGGAAGTCTTTCTTAAAGAAAAAAGCGGTAAATGACAAAGTACGCAAACACAGCGAATCACTGAAAGGCTAATATCAAGGCTGATAAAAGAAATGTTAGAAATGATGTAAGGCAATTCTACAAAGTTGCAAAGTATTTGTACATGATGAAATATGAGAGGCTTTGTAACTTACTATTAAAAATACAAAAACTTGGGAAGTAAAAGGATAGGTAGTAAGGGAGAAGGAAATTGATGACGAATATTAGAGAGGATATAATATTGCTACTCTATTTGCGAGAGGAAGAACCATTTGAACGTTGAGAGGTAGTATTGCTAGTCTTGACGGATCGGGCAGTCTTGTAGGCTGAACGTGTTAAGGAATGTTCAGTTCCAGACTCACCTCCAAAACCATAACTATGATGAATATCTTCATTGGTGTAGGCAACACCACCATACTTGTGATCCAAACCAACTAATTCATCTTGTGGAGGAACTCTCAAACCAATGGTGATATCAATGAAGAAGAACATGATTACTGAAGCGAAGGTTACCCAAACAGTTACAACAGCAATAGCAAAAAGATTCACACCCAACAATTCCCAATTCATACTGTAGAACAAACCATAGTATGTCGAAGAGGAATCAAGACCAAAATAGAGAGCAATACTAGAAGATATTAAGGAATTAATGAACTAGCTTACTTACCTTGATTTTGTGGAGAATAATCCACCCAAGAACAATCCCCAAGCACCACAGAATGCATGAACAGGAACGGCGCTCACTGGATCATCAACATGCAAAACCTCTAATAACCAGGCTCCACCAATATAAACCATAGCACCTGTGGCACCAATCAAAACAGCAGCCCATGGCTCAACAAAGGCACATATTGGTGTGATTGCGACACAACCTGCCAAGCAACCGTTCAAACTTTCAGTAAGGTCATATTGTCCACTTTGGAGACAAGACCACAACATGCACATCATGGCTCCAGCAGCACCAGCAATAGTTGTGTTGGTACTGGCAAAACCAGCAATTTTAGATAAACCACCACTAAGAGTGGATGATCCAGCGTTAAATCCATACTTAAAGAGTAAGCCATCAAAATACTGAAGAGAATACTTACCCAACCAAACCACAAAATCAAGCCACCCAACAAAACTAATGTCTTGTTGTGTCCTTCGATCTTGACAGCTTTTCCATTGACGAATCTTCCAATTCTTGGACCAACCATTACAGCTCCAACGAGGCCACAAATTCCTCCAGTCAACTATAACAATTAAGAAAGCAGCAAAATTCTAAATACTTACGTGAACAACGACACCACCAGCAAAGTCAGCCACACCAACATTTCCCACTCTGAAAAATACCTTATTGAATCCTGACAACCAACCTGTCGAGGACCAAATCCAATGGACAACAGGTGCATAAATGAAGGCAGTCATTAAGAATGAACACATGAAGAATGCAGATAAATTCATTCTTTCAGCCACGGCACCACTTACAACTACAGATGTTAATTGGAACAGCACATGTCAGATCAAAATTCACAAGAAACACTTACTCGAACTGGCAACGGCAGCAAAACTCCATTGGAAAAAGAATTGTGAGTTTGACTCTCCTCCTCCAAGCATGAAAAATCCAGAATTTCCAAAGAACCCATTTCTGGTTTCTGTAAGTTGGTCACCAAAAGCAATTCCATAACCAATACAGAACCAAGCCATTGTTGAAATGGCAACAGACATGACAATTTTCAATAAGATATTGGCAACGTTTTTAGAACGAACACCACCAGCTTCCAGGAATGCGAAACTAGATTATTTCAGAAATTACATTTCCAATATTTAACATACCCAGCCTGCATAACTATTAATTCAATTTAATGGAAGGTTAGACTTTGGGTCAATTGAAATATATACTTACACATTACGAGAGCACCATTTATCAAAGTCCAACCAGCATCTACATCCGAAGCTAATTCTGTGATGGTAGTATCAGCTGAAACATTCACAACCAATGAAGTGATAGTCAACAAGAATAATATCGAAGCAATTAATTTAACAGAGAATCTATCTAGATTTCTAAACATTTTTCTTTTGAATGAAGATTGCAACTGTGAACGCCACAAGACCACCACCATTGTTGAAAGTGCATACAATTATGGCTGTTGAATACATGGTATGGTGGTATGATGTCTCGTTCACCTTCCGAAAACAAAAGAGCTACGTAGCCATCAAGGGTGAACAGAGGCGCTTTTTTTTGGGATGATAAATTTCCCTCATAACCATATCAGTATGGAAAGGAATTACGGTTTTTTGGATGATGGAAATGCGATAGGGAATGAATTAACAATGTTGACATACAGTTGAAGGTTGGTGACTTGAATAAATTGGAAAATATTAATTCCTCGTCGCATGATCAGTTCACTTGCTGTTGGGAGAAGTAACTGTTATTTGAGAATTTAAATAAGGTTTATTGTTTAAACAGTTTGTTCTGTTGGGGCTAATTTAATTTCTCTTACGCAAACATGCTTTGGTGCTTCATAGGCATAAAGAATGGCATCAGCAATATCTTTGGATTTGAGAGCTCCCATCTCCCATGAGTTGACCATTGCTTCAAATCCTTCTGAGTTTTCCTTTTCATTGTGACCTAACAATTCACTCTCTGTAAAGCCAGGAGAAACAATCACAACTCTAACTTTTGAACCAGCAACTTCACTTCTCAAAGTTTCAGAAATTGCATGAACAGCATGTTTGGTACCACAGTAGGCAGCTGCTGAAGGGAAAGATTTAGTTCCCGCAATGCTACTAATGTTGATAATGGTGCCTTGTTTGTTTTCAACCATTTCCTTGAGGACAGCGTGTGATGCATTCAAGAGACCTTTTACATTTGTGTCAAACATTTGATTTTGATCGGATAATGGTTGAGTGAGGAGTGGTTGCAACAACATGACACCTGCATTGTTAATTAAACAATCAACAGAAGAAATGTTGAATTGCTTTTTGGCCTTTTCAATACCTTCCTTAATTTGGTCAACTTGAATGATATCACATTGATGAATAACAGTATTTTCAAATGACAAACTATTGCTTGAATCTTTTACCAATTGCTCTAATCTGTCCAATCTTCTGGCCAACAATAAAAGTTTGTAACCTTTGGCAGCAAATTCGACAGCAGTTGTAGCACCAATTCCACTGCTAGCTCCAGTAATAACGACGAGTTTAGATTGATTATTGTTTGAGGACATGTTTTTGTGTTTTGTTTTGAATTGGAGAATGAGATGAATATTTCATACAGACTATTTATTTGAAATATTCTCACCTCGTATGATTTTTTTCTAAGGAGGTGCGGTGAGTGCGTATTATTAGAATGTGCAAGGCAAGTTTTTAATTGCAATAAAAGTGCGCAACAATTTTTACCAATTTCCAACTTTGGGATTCTTCCAAATTCATATGAAAAATTTGAAGAATGGAGATCTTAATTGACTATGTTGTGAATTCAATCTTCAAGAGTGTAAACCTACCCATGAAAATTATTTCAAAATATTTTCTCATAATTTTAAAAAAATGAAAAGGTAATCCAAGAGGAAATTGATGAGCGGGAAAATCAAATCTGATGATCAACAACAACTTTCCGAATCATGTAAAACAAATTACTCAATAACCAATCTTTCAAGAGATGAATGGTCTGTGATTATACAATATTTGCCAGTCGGAGGTGTTTTAATGCTTGCCATGACATCAAAGGCAAATTATGAATGGATAGTCGAGCATGTAAATACACAGCTGTGTGTAGGGTTTTCCAAGAAACCAACATTGAATAACCCAAGAGTTGAGAAAAAATCACTGGTGAATATGTTGAGGTTTGTTTTCTAGAATATTAAAACTTATATGAAAATAGACAAAAGTTTTCTGGTATTTGGATAGAAGAGTCAGCTTGAGGTTTTATTGAAGGAAATTGAAAAGGAAAACAGAGCTCTCTTTTACAATTACTGATATAACAAACAGTCTCAAATTTGAAAGAATGGATTTTAGAATAGTGTATGGATTTTTGGATATTAGGAGTGATGAAGAATATATACTTGAAATGCAAGTAGAGACTCTTCCTATTAAAATTACAGATGATGATTTATTCAATTCATATACTAGCTCAGATACTTCCACAAGAATAATTAAAACAATTAAAGATGAACCTTTGGGTTATAACTTGAAAGAATTGGAACTTGACGACATACCTCTCACAAAGAATAAGCTTTTCAAAATTTTAACCAAGACTAGAAAATTAGAAACACTGGTTCTCAATTTGAAACAAGAAGTTTTCATTCCAGTGGGAGGAGGTAGTGGAATGAAAACACTTTCTATCAATAGTGATAATAGTTTAGGTCAATTAGAATTGGATATTACTGATGAAGGCCTTGGAAAATTCTTGGAAAAACAATCAAACATTGAAGAAATAGATGTACAACCTGTTTCATTTATCTCTGGTGCGATATTGAAAAGACTGGGAGACTTTCCAAAATTGAAAAGTTTCACAGCTCGAAGAATGTGGTATGAAGGGGAATATTCAAGACAAGAAGAAGATATCTATTTTGGAGGAAAACCAAATCCTAACTTGGAATTTGTTGATATTGGTCCATCATATGAATTCACTGATGAACAATTTGAAAAATTAATTAATTCTTTACAAACTCTTGCCCCAAATCTTAAAGATTGGGGAGATCTTGGAGAAAAAAATACCGATCCCCCAAGGAATATTGTTAAACACTTTGTCAACTCTGTGGAAGCCATTGATGTCAATTCAAATAATATTGCAACCTTACCATCATGTAAAAATTTAAAGACTGTATTCTGGATGTCGGAAATAGAAATACCAGACAATCCTAATTCCAATCCAAATGTGTCAGAATTGATCATACTTCAAGATGGAAAGGAAACCTATTCAAAAATGTCACTACTTTTTCCCAATGTGAATATCTTGCATTTATTGAACAAGAACCACCATCATCCGTGGAATATCTCAAACTCAAAATTCATTCAGTGGCTATTCTTAATTCTTCCTCCACCCTTTTATTAGAATGACATTTTTCTTGAACAGTAGTTTATACAAAGTCCTTCTACAGTAGCATTAGCAGATTCACTTACTAAAGTGTTGATTTAATTGGGATAAAACGATGCCAAATCTCACTTTACAATGTTTCTCATTGGTCGCATAAACAGAGTTCACCGTAAAACCGAAAGTTGAGTATTTCGTATTAATGTCAAGCACTAAAGAGCCGAAAAGACAAATTCACTAAACAAAAAAATGACAGCACTCTGGTTCAATGTCTTTGTTTGTTTAATATTGTTGTTGTTAACCAACAACATGGTGTTGTGCAAGACAACGGTCAACTTGAAACCTGTGAAATACACAACCAGTACATTTGCAGGTGGAAACTTACTGGGTGATGGTTATAACTTGACATCTCTTTCCCTCGACAGTCCCTTGGCATTATTCTTCAATGAACAAGATGAACTAGTTTTCACAGATGCTAATACCATTAAAGCAACATCTGGTAATGTGATAAAAGCGATTGCTGGTACAGGTGAATTACCAGGTAGTTATAGTGATGGTGGCGCAAATCAATTGGCTCTGCTTGCTCAAATTAATGAACCTAGAGGCATTGTAGTATCAAAAGAAACTGGTGATATTTACTTTTCAGATTATTACAATGATTTGGTGAGAAAAATTGACATGAAGAGTGGAAAGATAAGTGTAATTGCTGGCATTCCTGGTTCTTCAGGATTTAATGATGGACAAGCTAAGTTATCAAAAGTTTCACGTCCTTTTGGTATTGGTTTGATAAATTCTGATGTAATCTTTGCTGATAGGAATAATCACAGAATTAGAAAGATCTCAAATGGTGCAGTTGTAACAATCTGTGGTAATGGTATCAATAATTTTGGAGGTGATAATAGACCAGCACTCACTGCCAGGATAAACACACCAACAGGATTATTTGTCAATTCCACTAATGGTGACATTTACTTTTGTGATTCACTTAATCATAGAATTAGAAAGATTGATGGCAGCACTGCAATTATTTCAACAATCGCAGGTAATGGAGATGTAGGATACTCTGGTGATGGAGGCTTGGCAACCAATGCAGCATTGAATTTTCCAACTGGTGTCGTTTCCACTCCTGATGGTACATTATACATTATTGATAATAATAACGTTATTAGAATGGTCAATAGCAGCGGTTACATTTCTACAATTGGTGGAAGTATGGATAGTGGTAATTATGGTGATGGTGGTCCCGCAATCAATGCCAAATTTGCTTATCCAACAGGAATCTCAGTTTCTAAAAATGGAGATGTTTATGTTACTGACACTGGAAATTTGAAGATACGTAAAATTTCAAAACAAACTGGAATTATTGAAACAGTAATTGGTAATACAAATGTATATGGAGGAGATGGGTTGCCAGCATCAAAAGCAGCTTTGGGCTATATTAGTCAAGTTGTTTCAATTGATGGCATTACATATATTTCACATGATTGCAGAATTAGAAAGGTTGACAAGAATCAAATTGTTTCAACTATTGCAGGTAACGGTAACCGTCTAGATGACTCTACTATTGTCCCTAACGTTATTAATCCGCTCGAATCAATCCAGAGCATTATTGGACTTTCCGTTTCACCAATTACAAAAGAGTTATTTGTTTCATTCAGTAATTCAATTTACAAACTATTTTGGAATGGCACATTGATAAGAGTTGCTGGAACCAATGGTCAATTTGGAGGTGATGGATACAATGCCAAATATTCAGTTATCAGTAGAGCAACTGGAATTGACTTTTTACCAAGCACTAGTGAAATGATTATTGCTGACAGTTTAAACTCATGTATTAGAAAGATTTCAACTTTGGGAATTATAACAACCATTGCTGGTAAACCTGGTGTTGCAGGATACAGTGGAGAAAACGTAAGAGCTATTGATTCAATGATAGGTAATCCAGTTAGAGTTCTTGTTAGCAAGATGGGTGAAATTTACTTTTCCACAAATACTCATCGAGTTCAAAAGATATCACTCAATGGAAATATCACAACAATTTGTGGAACTGGGGTTGATGATTATAGTGGAGATGGAGGTAATGCTATCGAGGCAGCAATTTCAAATCCTAATGGTATGGCTTTCTCTTCTGATGAAGAATTGTTATATGTTGCTTGTAATGGTAATAATGCAATTAGAGTTGTTAATTTGACAAGTGGCATAATTGACATTGTACAAAATGTAGCATCTCCTTTAGATGTTGCACTTACAAATGATGGATTGTATCTTTTAGTATTACTATCAGATTCCACTTTGAACAATATTACACTTTCCACTTTACAAAATTCAATTATTTGTGGTACTGGAGTTGAAGGTTACAATGGAGATGATATTCTTGCAACTGATGCACAACTCAATAAGCCAACAAGTGTTTCAGTAGATCAAAATGGTGACATTTACATTTCAGATAATTCTAGATTAAGAAAGATTTCTAATGGTGTTATTTCAACTATTGCTGGAAACGGAAATACTACTGATATCGAAAATGATGTTCTTGCCAACATGACTAGTGTAGTTCCATCATTCTCAAAGGTTGGACCAAATGGAGATTTATATATAATTGACAGAGCTTATATCAGAACAGTATCTACCAATGGAATTATTAGTACTCTAGCTGGTGGTTTGGGCGATGGTGGATTGGCATCTGAAGCCTATTTATGTCCAAACAGATTGGTAGTATCATGGAGAGGTGACATTTATTTTACAGATTCTTGTTATGCTAATAATATTAGAAAGATTTCTTATGATACAGGAATTATTTCTACTATTGCTGGTGGTATATATGCTGGTTATAACAATGATGAAATTGAGGCAATTAAGGCAAAACTCAATAATCCATATGGTATTACAGTGAGTGTGGATGGAGATATTTATTTCACTGATATAGGAAATAACAGAATTAGAAGAATAAGCAAAGACGGTATCATTCATGCTGTTACAGGAAATGGAATTGTGCTATCAACTGGAGATGGTGGTTCTGCTCTTTTGGCATCTATTATTAATCCTGCATCTGTTATTACAACCAAAGTTGGTGATGTAATTTTTCCTGATTGTGATGCCCATGCTATAAGAAAGATTTCAGCATTGGATGGAAATATCTCAACAATTATTGGTAATGGACAGACAGGTTTTGAGATGAGAGACAATGTGAAAGGAAATGAAACTATTGTTTCATGCCCAGACTCTATCTTCATTGATGAACAAGGAAATTTAATATATTCAGATACTGGTATCTTTCGTAATGGCTTGGTTAGGGTGGCAGTTCCATACTGTGAAGAAGATGGTTTTCGTCTGAGTGAAAATTCCTTAATATGCACACCAATCTGTTATGGAAAGTTTGGTAATAATTCTTGTGGTGGACCATCCCAAGGTGCTTGTGTTGATGTCAATTTGTGTGAATGTGAAATTGGTTGGATTGGAGAAACTTGCAACATTACCACATGTAATGGTTTGTTAAGTAATGATTCTGCTGTTTGTCAATCGAGGGGTAAATGTTTAGATTATGAAAAGTGTACTTGTGATAATGGTTTTAGTGGAGCCAATTGTGAATACTTCTCTTGTTTTGGAATTCAAAGTAATGATCCACTCACTTGCAATTCTCATGGTCAATGTATCGGAAAAGATTTGTGTGAATGTAATTCGACTTGGGTTGGTTCTTCATGCAATACTCCTATCTGCTTTGGTATCTCTAATTCATCGGGTTGTTCTGGACATGGGCAATGTATGGATTTTAACTTGTGTAAATGTGATAAGGATTGGTATGGGCCTGATTGTAAGCTATTTCAATGTTTTGGAAAATTGTCAAATGATACGTCAAATGTTTGTTCAGGAAATGGGCAATGTATTTCAACAGATACATGTCAATGCAATAAGGATTGGTATGGCCCTGATTGTAAACTTATTCAATGTTTTGGAAAATTGTCAGATACCTCAAATGTTTGTTCTGGACATGGTCAATGTATTTCAACAGATACATGTCAATGCAATAAGGATTGGTATGGCCCTGATTGTGAACTCATTCAATGTTTTGGAAAATTGTCAAATGACACGCCAAATGTTTGTTCTGGACATGGGCAATGTATGGATTTTAACTTGTGCAAATGTGATAAGGATTGGTATGGGCCTGAATGTAAACTCATTCAATGTTATGGAAAATTGTCAAATGATACTTCAAATGTTTGTTCAGGAAATGGTCAATGCATTTCAACAGATACATGCAAATGTTCAATTGGTTTCATTGGAACCAATTGTGAAAAACTGATTTCAGTATCCAGTTCAATCACCATTCCCCAACAATCAGCAAGAATTAACAACTCTCCTTTAACTACTCCTCTTTTCAATTTAATCTTGGCTATTGCCTTATTGTTTATTTCTTTCATTCTTTAATAAAAAATAAAGATTCTCAAGAAATTGTTTTCTTAAGCGTCAAAATTGAACGTTTTGTGTTTTCGAAAGAGTTAAAACAAGATCATAAAAATGTCATCATGTGTTGTTCTGATTTTCAATGATTTACAATCTTCTCCACTTTTGATTAGAAAATTCCGACAACAACAAGCCCATCAACTACACACAATACGAATCAATGAATTAATGAATTATTTGTGGAGTATTCAACAGATGAATCCATGCTATCGAACAGTTGATTACATGTCAAAACTTGAGACTCGACTTTATTGTCATCCCCAGCATCAAGTTCCACAACTTTTGAATACTGAAACAATTGCACGGATGGAAGGAATGAAAAAAGATAAACCAATGAGTGACCGTCAAGCACTTAATTATCCGGAAGAACATAAGCCAATGATGAAGAAATTAGAGAAATTATGTGAAAAGGTTGGAAGATTACAAGCTTTCAGATATCATAGATATTACGAATGTCATATTGGAGGTTCTGAATATGAAATTAATGCATACGGAATTGGTGGAGTGTTTTTACTGGTATTCCACTCGGAAGGACTTTGGTAAATCATCTACTTTCAATGAATTCAATGTCTTTATTAAAATAAAAATGGAAGATTAGTTGGATTTATCTTTTAATACTTCTTGATAGGTTTCAGTTGGTTTGGAATGATTTTCCAAAAAGTTTGAGGCAACCAATTTCAAGTCATCAAAACTATTACAACTTTGATTGAATAAAACTAAACTGGAGAAAAACCCTGTAAAGCAATTAGCACATGAATAATCAATAAATTCCATTCCCATTTCATCTTCTATATAATAATTATCTGTTAGAGAAAGAACCCTATTATCGATTGGAACTTCAAATTGGTATTCATTTCCATTCACAATGCAAAATATTTCCTTCTTTGTATTCGAATTCTTGTGAGTAAAGACACGACATGATTCATTAAATGTGCCAGGAGATTGTACATTATTATACGAAACCCACACATCATTCCACTGTCTTAATTTCAATTGATTTGCAAACTCGAAATGTTTTTCACCATTGCTCAAACTAATTCCAAATGGATCAATACCAAACCATCTGTATCCTCGTCCAAACATGATTATTACTCCTCTATCAGTTGACTCAGCAAATGCCCTCAATAATACAGTAAATCCAGTTGGATTAAATAACTCAACTGGAGGATACAGAACTGAAGAATTACTTAAATACCCTCCTTCGAATAAAACACCATGCTGTGGATGAATCCATTGATCTCCTGTCTTGTGATGATATCTTTTGATAACAGCTTCATTGTTTTCAGTGTGAAATTTGAGAGCTCTTGGACTAAAACACAACAAGGAATGATTCGGGTGATGAATATCAGTAATGAAACGATCAAAATTTCCATTAATGTCAATGACAACAGAGTGGAGCCATTTCTCGGTTGACAATAAAAGTTTTCTCTGCATTGTTTCCTTCAATTTGGAAAATAAATAATTATTCTTGTTCTCATCATTAAAGTCATCCAAGAGAAGGGTAACAAGACGAGTGCTATCAATACTATTTTCTGGCATTTTTTTTTCAGAATGGGAACTTGGTGTTTATTTTTTTTAGTCAATAATGAATTTTTAAATTAGTTTTGGGAACTTTTGAATTTCTTCAAAGTAATCGAATAAATGTTCATCTCAATGTTGCACCTAACAATGTTTTAAACACGTGTTTTAATAAGGTGGCAGTAAGATTTGGTTACAACAACGGAAATCGGAAGCTGTCTTTCCATTCAAATAACAATTACAAAATTTTACATCAAGAAATACCATTTGTTTTCATTGAAAATAGAGTTGATTAATATTGAATTGACACAGTACTTTTAGAAGGCTTTTAAATTGAAGGTGTTTTGTTTGGTTTGACACAATTTGATGGTAAATAATTGTCAAAGAATAAATTGCTAACCACATTAGTTTGAGGAGATCACTCTTTCCAATCTCTCTAATTAGTGTTTGGAATGTTCATTACCAACCAGCCCTTCTTTTGCATCTTTTTAATTCTCCTTCTAATGTAGTAATTAGTTTCATCTTTCACCAATGTTTCATCCAATAAAATACACTGTTTCTTCATAATATTTTCCACTATTCCATTTACTGTACAATTTTCCATAGGAATTCTTTGAGAAATGTTTCCATTTTGAAATTTTAAATTATTTACATCAAAATCTGGAACATCATTCTCAATATCCTCATAAATTACATTCAATTCCAATAAATCCCCTTCAAATTTAATTAAGTAGTCAACTGTTTCTCTATTATTCTTCATTGAAACAATTTCCATTTCACAATCTCTCAGTCTATTCTCAAATTCATTTCTAATTTTTAGAATTTTCGAATCTCTATGATTATTTTCCATATCATCACCATCACCAATATTTGAATTTTTAATAAATAAATCCAAATCATTAAACTTTTCCCTCCGAACAAGAAAATCCCTCACAAATCCTCCATACACAAAACTCTCTGAAAAATCTGCTAATAAATTAATAATCTTCATCCCCAATTTACTCTTCTCTATCACAAAATCACATTCCCCGATTGGAGTGAGCAGTGGCATCATTACCGGCTCTGTATCTAATTCACTCATTTTTTTATACAAATTCAACATTTTACAACATGAACTATTTCAAATGATTTCATTTTCGAAAAGCAACTCGTTCTCCAAATTCTTTGATTGAAATATTCACACAATGAAAACTAATGCACTTCCACATATTCGTGATGAAAACACTTATCCTCCTCTCAATCTCAACACCAAATGAATACAAATTTCTTTATAAAAACAGTATTGTCCCATTGTTGTACCATGTTCCATATCCTTTCCAGCATAAATCAACCTTTGCTGATCCCAATAAATTCCTTCCCGATCTTGAATTTGTAACTTGACATTTTCCACTGTATCGTTCATATCCACAGCAATGGTGATGAGTTTGCCAGTCAGAGTTTTAATGAACAATTGGTGAGGCATTTACCATGGGATGTGTTTGCTATTTTTTTTATTGGTTTACAACAAAGAACAAGTTCATGGAGGAAAGGTTTCGAATAGAAAATTGTCACCAACATTTTAACCACCCCACAGAGATAAAACCAAATGCAAGGTAGTTTCTTTGCTAAAATTAATATCCCTAACCGGTACTCCATGCTCCAACTCCTTTCCTAACCAAATTAATCGTTGAGCATCCCAGCAAATTCCCTCATTTTCTTCAAGTTGAAATTTCATATTCTCAACTGTATCATGTGATTCAACTACAACAGAGAGTGTCTTTCCGGTCAAGGTTTTAATAAATAATTGTTGAGGCATTCGTTTTGTGTTTTTTTTTTTGAACTTTGTAAAGAACTATTGAACTTGGTCAAAGTTTAACTTATTAATAGTTCAACACAATCTCAAAGATACATTCGAATAGATATCTTTATTTCATCCTACATATTATTATGCCTCCTCATCTTGCAATTTAATTCCTCTCTCCTCACTATTAGCTCTATTTCTTCTTCTTCTACAAATAATACATGTACAAATGCAACATGTCAATACGACACCAATTACAATACCACACAAAATGATAATTGCAAAAATTGCATTCCTCTGATTACTAATAATCCAATCCCATAAAGACCAAACTGCATCTGGAACAGGAGCTTGAGAAACTTGAATGGTAGGAGTATTATAGGTATTTGCACTTCCATAAACAGAAGTATCTGGAGTATAAAGAACTGATAGAGAAATAGAACCCTCACTAGATGGTGTAAAATCTAGATTACCCACTCCTTGATTGACTTGTCCAGTAAATCCACCAAAACTCAAAGTTCCTTTCTGCCAAGTGTCAATATTGTCATAAACATTTTTGAATTCAAATCTAAATGACATCTTTTTACCAACATAATACTTTGAACCATCACGACTCACAGCAGTAACTTTAACAGTTTTGGCTTCTGGCACTGCACATGACATTTGAATATTATATCTCACTTCAGTATTCAATACTAAATTTGTACTCGATACAAGTAAATATGCTTTTCCTGGCAATGTTGAAGGATATCTAACAGGTGCCAAATTATCAGTAACACATGTCATTGCTCTATCTTCACTCTTATAAGATGAATACTGAAATGATTGAAGATTCATTGCCTTATTCTTATTATTCTCATCGACAAGATAGTATTTAAATCCATTACTATCGGATGTAGATTGAATATTGATGAGACCAATACTTGGAACTTGATTTCTGTTGCCACAATTTTCCTCTGCTGCAAGAATTGTAAAGCCAAGAGCTGGAATTGATTTTGGACATGATCCACCATTATTGCAATAACATTGAGAACAGGAGCATTGTTGTTGGGAAGTTGGTGAAAGAGTGAAGAATGGTGGTGTGTTGGATGATGATGTTGGTTGTTGTTGTGTTGGAAAGGTGTATTCTTTGAGAGTTTCTTCTCTTGTTGGGACGAAACTGATAGACGAAATGGAAGAAGAATCAGCTGAAACAAGTAAAGCTTGTTGGATGATGACGAGGAAAAGAGTCAAGATCAACAAAAACCTGAACATTGGGTTTCGAATATTTTTTTGAATGGTGAACCCGTGTGAGACTTAAACCAAATGAGATTGAAAAATTGTCAACAAATTCCAAATTAAAACTGTTGACCAATTTTGTGAAATCAGGGCGGACTTTGTATTCCATTTCAATGATGTGTAACCCTTAGTGCAATTCTTTACAAAATTTAATAATATATTCACATTCGATAGTTCAATAACTGAAGACTAAATGTGCAAATGATTAATATAAAAATCTATACTTCCAAATTTCAAATCATCAAATTTGAACAATCCTCTTCCCTCCACCTCCATCCAACAACAATATTAACATTTTCTTCAATCAAACACCCTCAACTAATCCACTATCATATCTTCATCAACAATTTTCAAGTCTACACCTCAATTATCCAATCAATGTAGGACAAAAATGAAGATTCAAAAAAAAATGCAAAACATCCCAAAAATGCGTCAATCACTTATTTTTGCGATCATTGGTTGTTTGATGGTTGCAATGATGATGATGATGGTAGTGGACGGAGCTGTTCAGATGAGAGGAGCCTCTGCTGCTGCTTCATCATCATCATCAGTGAAGGCTACTAATGGAACAAAGCCTGGTACTTTTGAAAGAATTCTTGTTGTTAATTTTGAAAATCAACCATTAGAATTGACCATGATGCATGAATATTTCCGTCAAGTGGCTACCAAGATTGGAACCTTGTTGTCTGAATATTATGGAGTTACTCATCCTTCTCAACCAAATTATTTATCACAAATTGCTGGTGATTATTTTAAACATAATACTGACAGTAATGTCAATGTTAATGCCACAACTATTGTTGATTTGTTGGAAGCAAAGGTTTGTATATTGATTGAAGTTTTTTATTCGAATGTTGTTGTTTTGATGTGGAATATTTCACATTCTGAAATAATTTAAAGGGATTGACTTGGAAATCATATCAAGAAAATTATCCAAAGGAAAATTCTGGAACTGGAAATTGCTTCATTGCTCAATATAGCACTGATAAGAAGTATTATAGAAAACACAATCCATTCATGACCTTTGATAATATTAGAAATAATCCAAATAGATGTAAGAATATTGTCAGTTCTGATCAATTGGATTTGGATATTGCTTCTGGAAATTTACCAAACTTGATGTATTACACTCCAAATATTGATAATGATGCTCACAATACTGGACTCGATTATGCCAACAAGTAAGTTTGACAACCGCTAGTTCAATCATTTAACATTTGTACAGTTACTTAGCTCAATGGTTGCCACCTAAATTGAATAATCCAAAATTCATGAAAGGCACTCTTATTTTCATCACATTCGATGAAGATGACTACATGTTCCGTAATCATATCTATGCTGTTGCTATTGGTGATATGGTTCAACCTGGAGGAGTTGACAAGAATACTTATAACCATTTCTCTCTTTTGAGAACCATTGAAGATAATTTCCAATTAGGAAATTTGGGAAGAAATGATGCTCTTGCTTCCTCATTCAATTGTTTCAAAAACTAAATAAACTATTTATTGTATGCAAAAAAAAGATTATTTGAGACAGTAACCATGTTCTCCATTAACTTGCATCTTTGCAGACACAAGCCAACGAAGAGAAAGAATCGAACTTTCGAAAACCAAGGGTTGATTGCTGGGAGGTCACTTATCCAAATATTATTGGGCCTCCTTCATTAAAGAGTGTATTAGTAATAAGGATAATATTATGGTTCAAAGAAATGGTTTGTTCTTTTTCGAATTTGCATTAGTTGGATAATTAAGACCCTCAATAAGCTCTCCCAACAGTTTCGTTAACATGCAACTAACGTATCTTTTTGCGGTATAATACAAAGATCACATTTGGACAACTTTAACATTTTGAATGGTACATTTAAGGTCTGTTAAAACATCTAGTATGGTAATGAAAATGCTATGCAACGTAAAATCAAGATCTATAAATAAGCAATTCTTTTCCTAAACGATTATTTGATAAGGTTCATGAAGATGCATGATTATGCTTATTACTTCAATAAAAGAAAAAATGTGTTGGTCTATGAAAAGCTCGTTTACCTTCTCATGTCTTGGTTTTATCATGACCATGGACCAGTTGAGAAGATTGCCTTCTGCTAAATCGAAAGTTGCTCAACTTTCTCAAGTGTTCCTCTACTTGACTTATGCTCTCATGGAAGCACTCCAATTTTTCCAATATTACTATGGTTTAGTCGATTCCTGTAATAGTGAAAGTAATAAGAATTTAACCATTGTTGCTCACTTTTTAGTTTGGATTCAACCATTGGTTCAAAACTATTGGTGTCTTAACCATACTTTAAAATCTAGATCGGTCTTTAGATTTGCCATTGTTGCATCCCTGATTTGTCTTATTATTTCTACAATTGCCTTGTATATGGGTTACAATCAAATGATGGGACATGGCCCAAATACTAATCATATGAGTGCCAATGAATTATTAACAAAGTTTGGTACCTCTCCAAAATCTGTTGAAATTACTTCCGATGGTTATGGAACTGAATCTAGGGTGAATAATATTCCAATTCAAAATGTTGGATCATCAATGTGTTCCTATCAAGGTCCAAATCACTTGTACTGTAAGTATTATTCAAATTAATTGGTTTTACTAAGATTCCAAATTTATCATAACTTCTTATTACTTCTTGGATCATTGAAATGATAATAGGGATGTTCCCATATCATCAACTGTGGGGTTATTTGCCTCACTGGGGAACTTGGTTGCTTATTACAGTATTGCCTCACTTCTTTAGAGTTCATGATGATAAGGATTGGTTCATCTCCAATAGAGTGTTAGGAATTGGTGTTTTGAGTGGATGGTTAATTAGTTTGGTTGTCTCGGTTAGTATTGGTGTTTTCCATGAGATTTGGTCTTATTGGTGCTTGATCTCTGTGGTAAGTGTATTATTAACAATAATTTAATATTTAAATTCTTTCTTCCTGTATGATGATAATTATTATTAATATTTAATTGTCATATTGATGTCATCAGCCATATCTTGTGTTGCCGTACTTGTACAAGTGGATTTGGAGAGGCTTATTAGGTTGGAAGCATCCAGATCATGCTTTCATCAATGTTCAACAAAAGAAGAAGAATTAAAATTGTTATTGTTGTTGGGGCTAATAAATTGTTACTATTAATTTTCAACTACTATTTCCATCCCGATGTATTGTTGTTGTTGGATGGTTTATTCTACAATCTGTAATCATTATTTTGAGATGAAGATGTAAAATAGCAATGTTCGGTAACAAGTGTTCAAAGGAAGAAATGAAGAATTTTCTTTATTGTTGATGTAAAAAATTTCCATTGTAAAAATTCTATTTTGGTGGACAACTTGAAAAATTTTGTTGAAAAAAAAATCGTCGAAAACAATGGCTAAATCATCTGTTGTCAATTCTGGTGCTAAGGTTCAAATCCAACACTTTGAAATCATCGCTAGAAAGCTCCCAAGCAACTCTTCTGAAAAACCACCACTCTTCAGAATGAACATCTTTGCTCCAAACAAGGTCATTGCTAGATCTCGTTTCTGGTATTTCATGAGCAGAATCAACAAGTTGAAGAAGGCTAACGGTGAAATCGTCTCCATGAAGGAAGTCAAGGAAACCAACCCAGAAAAGGTTAAGAACTTCGGTGTCTGGCTCAGATATAACAGCAGATCTAACATTAGAAACATGTACAAGGAATATCGTGATGTTACCGTCTCTGGTGCTGTCAAGCAAATGTACGACGAAATGGCTTCTAGACACATGGCTAGATTCTTCTCCATCCACGTTAGAAAGGCTGAACAAGTTGTTGAACCAAAGAGAGAACACATTGTCACTTTCTCTGCTCCTGATGTTCAATTCCCACCTATCTGGAAGAAGAAGAAGGTTGCCAAGCAACAAAAGACCAGATTCACTGCCACTAAGCCAAAGTTGATTATCAGTGCTTAAATTTCTTTCCTATAAACAAAAAAATTCATAAAACAAACAATAACTATTTATTTTACAAGTGCACTAGAATCATGTCGGAATCTTGAAGGGAATAATCTTTAAGAAAGTGATTATCCAAGTCAATGTTTGTTACTTGATTGAATCGGTCTGCAACTTTAAGTTGTACCTTCCTTATGTTTTCTCTCTTGACAAAATTTGAACTCTCATTGTTTCCTTCTACTTTAACACTCCATCTCTGTAACAGAGTTTCATGCAAATTTTCAATATTATTGGTTGTCTTTTCCACTTTCATAAAAGTACAATATAATTCCTTTCCACTGACCAAATCAATATATTTCACTAATAGTGTTATTGGATTTCTTAGGGCTTGCTCGATGTTATTATTAGTAGTGTTAACTGCTGAAGAAACTTGTTGTGGAAAATTTGATGGTACAGATGTTGGTAAAACATTTCCAATATCCAGATTATTGTTAGAAATTGATGGCTCGGAAATTTGTCCAAGTAAACTTTCATTAAAATTCTTGTCGTTGATTTCAGGGATGACAGTACTTGGCTCCATTTTTTAATTGATGATTTTCGACTTTTAAAAAAAGAATCAAAAAACTGTCAACCGTCATTTTAGTGTTATCTTGTTGTTTACTGAACTTTAATATTGCACCTCTTGAGAGAAATACTATTAGTGAGGGCATCCTTTCCTACTTGTGTAATTGGATTGTTTGTGAAATGTAGTCCTTTCAATTTTTTCAAGTTTGAGGCTACAGCAAGTAGCTCAGCACCAATATCAGTTATATTGTTGGATGCAAGAAATAACTTTTCGAGATGGATTAGATTATTGCTTTGAACAATTGATTTAACACCTTCATCTGTCAAACCAACAGAGAATAGGTCCAAGTCAAGGAGTTTGGTAATATATGGGCTATTAACAAGTGCATAAACACCTTCATCTCCAAGAGGATTACTTCCAATGAGTAAGAACTTTAAATTAACCAAATTTTCACACATGGATAACATTTCACAACCATTTACATCAATTGATCCTTTGCATAGATATAACTTCTCTAGCTTGGTAATATGTTTGGATTGGGTGAGACATCGTACTCCATCATTAGAAACTTCTGAAAGGCTAATATCTGTCAAGTTGGCAAAATTAGTACTAAGGCACATGGTAGCAATTGCATCGGTGGTTATTATGCTTCCAAAACATAGTAAGCTTCTAAGTTCAGTTATATTATCGCTATTGGCTAGTGATATCAGTCCTTCATCACCAATATTATTAGAGGTAACACGTAATTCAGTAAGATTTCTCATTGCAGGACTTTGTGAAATGGTCTTAATATCATTCTGTCTAATCTTTGAGCCATGCACCTCCAAGCATGTTAATTCACTCAAATTTTGTGCAATGGCTTTAACATGTTCATTTGTGAGAAGGGTGTTATTGATCTGCAGAGTTTTCAATTTTTTCAGATTTTCACTTTTCATTAATTCTTTGAAAGGATCCAACACTGGATTACATGCAGCTATATTCAGTTCAGTTAAATTGTTCAAAAATTTGCTGTTTGCAATAGAAAGGAGTCCTGTTCCATCGATCCTATTATTCAATAAAACTAAAGTTTCAAGAAGTGACATATTTTCTGATTCTGAAATTATTTGAATGGAAGCATTGGTGATTCCATATATTTTGAGCTTTTTTAGACGCATATTTTGACACATGGCAGTTATTGCTTCGTTTGAAATGGGTCCACAATAGATACTCGTAATATTTTTCATTGCCTTGCTTGACAAAAGATTAATATCATCAACATTATCACATTTTTGAAAGCTAAATGTAGAGAGTTTTAACTCATCACATTTTGAAATAATTTCGACACATTCCCTATCGAGTGCTATTCCTCTCATATCCAAATCAACCAAGTTTTTGAATTTTTCAAATATAATTCCTGGATTTTGAATAGGATTGAATGATAAATTCAATATTTTCAATTCTTCCAATTTGATTTTTGAAATTGCTTCATCATTGGCACCACTGTTACCAGAAATGTCCAAAAATGTAGCATTTTGAATTGTTCTACACGTTCCCATATTAATTACCTCATCACTTGTGAGTTTAAATCTAGGCAGAGAAACTCGATATTTCATTCTTCCACAAATCGTATAAAACTGCAAAGATATCAAAGAGCAAGTTTTGATAATTTCTCTCCAATCCAAATATTCTAATATGAGAAAACAAACATCATCGGAGAAGGGTGGCTCATCATGGCCTCTTCTATAATCACTGCCTTTTGATTGTAACATTTTTTTGTAATTTTCTATCATGTTCTGATAATAATTAAATGCTTTGGAGTTATTCTATGATGTAGGTTTTTGAAATTAACTCAATCTTGTTCGGAATTAAACACGTGTTGTTCCTTCTTCAATTTTCTTCTTCTTCTTTGAATATCTTCTAATGTTTATCACATGATCACAGTAATTTTTCATTCTAAGTCTTAATATCCATAGTACAAAAAAGTTCTTTCACTTCTTTTAAAAACATTAAGATATTATCATCAACATCAAGGCTTTGAAAAATCCGAAAAACCGAGACGGGAAATTGGACTTTGATCTTTTCAATTTTTAAAAAAAATTATTATTAAAAAAAATGAAAACTTGTTACCAACAAATTGAATTGATCGAAACTGCTGAAAGTTTTATTCTCCAAGGAAAGAATAGGGAAGGTGAAGCATCATCACTTGAGATTAATCGTTCAAATAATTCAATTAAATCACTCGGAGCTGATTTTGATGCATCATCAGTAAAGAAGATTTCTTCTCAAAAATTGAGTGCAGTTTTGGGATCTATTGAATTGTTGGCTGGTTTTTATTTGGTTGTTGTTAAATCAAGTACTCCTGTTGCCACTATTGATAAGGTTCATACAATTAATTCTATTGGCGAAGTTAAGATCATTCCATATTATCAAAAGCCTGTTCCTACTCAACACCAAGCCGATGAAAGTAGATATTTGGAACTCTTGACAACAATTTTGAATGATGGAACTTTCTATTTCTCTTACTCTTATGATGCTACTGTTTCCACTCAAAATTGGTTTAAACAAGCTTCAACTTTGAATGTTGTTGGTGAAAAGGTAGGTTTCTCTGAAGGAATTATTAGAGGATTTTAATATAATATAAGTCCGATGATCATTTCTTGTGGAATGGTTTCTTAACTAGAGATTTCACTGGAAAGGAAGCTGCTCAAGGATGGTTTGTTCCAACTATTCGTGGATGTAAGTTGTGAAATTTTGTGTGTGTGGATTTATAATTTTGATCTTTAGTTGTTGAAACCAAGGAAGCTAAAGTTGAAGATAAATCTTTCAATTTGACTATTTTGTCTAGATTGGGATGCAAGAGAGTTGGTACCAGATACAATATGAGAGGTGCTGATTTCTTGGGTAACGTTGCTAACTTTGTTGAAACTGAACAAATCATTGAATATAACAATAACTTTATTTCATTCATGCAACTTCGTGGTAGTATTCCATTGCTTTGGACTCAAAAGGCCAACATTCAATACAAGCCACCAACTTATTTGAAGAAGGAAGGAAAGTCATTCGAAAAGCACTTTGATGGAGTTTTGCCACGTTATCAAAATATTGCTATTGTCAACTTGATCAATCAAAAGGGATCTGAAAAGGTTTTGGCTGATGAATACGAAGTTCAATACAAGTCATATCCAAAGAACTCTGACCTCAAGTATATTGCTTTTGATTTCCACAATAAGTGTAAATCAATGAACTATTCTGCTATTTCTGAATTGACTGATCAAGTAGAACCATCTTTGAAGCAACATGGATATTTCCAAATGAACGTTTCAACTGGTCAAATTCTCTCAGAACAAACTGGTATTATTCGTTCTAATTGTATTGACTGTTTGGATAGAACCAACGTTTGTCAAAGCATTTTTGCCAAGATTGTTTTGGCTACTCAATTGACTAGTTTGAATGTTATGCCATCTAGTCAAAAAGTTGCTGATCAAAAGTCATTGAACTATACATTCCAAAACAGTAAGTTTTCTAGTTAAAATTAACCCAGATATATATTTGATTAATAGTTTGGGCTGATAATGGTGATAGAATCAGTTTCATTTATGCTGGTACTGGAGCTATTAAGGCAGATTTTACCAGAACAGGAAAGAGAACACTCAACGGTCTCTTGAACGATGGTATCAACTCTGCTACTAGATATTATTTGAATAACTTTAAGGATGGTATCAAGCAAGACTCTGTCAACTTGCTTTTGGGTAAATATGCTGTTAAATCCAATGCCAAGTCTCCATTTGAACAAGAAAATCAATCCAATGTCTTCTTCTCAGTTCTTAAATATGGATTCTTTGTTTCCTTATTCATGGTTGCTGCCAGTGCTTCAAAGGCAACTACATCGGGTATGTAAATTTCCATAGTTGTGCACTATATATTAATGAAACGAAATTTATAATTTTTAGGTGGTCTTCTTAATCTCTTAATTTACATTGCTCTTACTGTTATTATTTATTTCTTGTTGGTTAAGAATGGAAGAAAGATTGTTAATAATCCATGTCTTACCGATCCAACTGAAGAATCCACACACTCCAAACAACAATAGTTTTGTAAACATTTTTTCACAAGATGTTAAAAACTCACACTGAATTCTTCTAGCATCAAACCTGTAATTTATATTTCACAACAAAATAATTTATTAAAATCAATATTCCATTAATAATAACATCCTTTCGAATTTCACAACAATGAAATACTCAATATTGAAACACACGTGTTAAAAATCATTCCGATCTGTGTTGACAGATTGATTTCACTTCCGAACTTGACTCTCTGATTCATCACTTGATCATCAAGCAACTTTAAACAATCAAGAAAAAAAAATGTCAACAACAACTTCGGGATGCTTTAAATTTATCCTGATTGTTTCTTTAATTTATTGCTTGTCTCTAATGTACATGACAAGTTATATGGCTTTTTCACCATTGAGTTGTCATTGGTCAAAAAGTAATTCAAGAAGAATTGCCATGATTGCGGATCCACAAATGGAAGGAGATACAAAAGTTTATCATCAGGGAAATTATGGATTGCTCAATAATTACTTTAACGATTATTATTTTAAATTGGTATTCCAAAATATTCATTACTTGTTGAGACCGGATGCAATTTACATGTTGGGTGATTTATTCTCATCTCAACACGTTTCTAATCAGGAATTTTATTTGAGAGTTGATAGATTTAATTCAATCTTTTCTGGAATGTTTGGTTTTGTGAATAGAATATTCAAGATGAGAAGTGGAGATTTACATGAAGAACAAAGAATGGTAAAAGAGAGAGGTTCTTCTGATTTACGTAATTTAAACTTCCCATATTTGGTTAATTTAACTGGTAATCATGATATTGGTTATGGTTTTGAAGCTAATTTCTTTAGAATTCAAAGATTTATTGCTAGTTTTGGAGTTCAAAATAGAAAAGATATCATTTATGAAAATGGAAATAGGAAGGTTTTGGCTGTAACCATTAACAGTATGG